CTGTGTTACCTCTGTTGCTTTGTTGCTTTTTCAGACTTCACAGGCCAATGCCTCAACTCATCACCTTATGTCTTTTAGCCCCATCTGCCAATCTTCAGCTGGATAAGCTCCGTGGCAGCTGACTTTTAGGATAATGCTTTCCATATACCTTCAAAACTCGTATCCCTTGCATGATGGTCTCAGATCATTTTTTCCCTCCAACATGTATTTAACAATGTTAAGATATTTTCTCTTTCTAGATGATGAACTTGATCCTTCTTTTACCAGGGACCAGCAATCTGAATAATTCCGAATCTGGGCTAGGGATGGGTTTAAGCAACAAGTAAGGGAGAGGGGCCCAAAGCACTGTCAGTATCTTTTAAAAGAGAGAAGACTTCCTTCCATCTCATCGGGAAGAAATGTGGCAGGGTCTAAAGTAGAGCATGTTTTCAAGCTAATACCAGATTTTTCAAAAGCAAAGTTTGGTATTTGAGAATGCAACTCTCTGATAACCAGAAAAGTCCTCATGGTCCAGCATATTCTTGAAATTATGAAAAGAAAAAGTGACAAGGTGAACTTTTGAGCTGATGGGATCAGAACCCCTGCAGTGGCCAGATCTCTTAGGCAGGCTGACCATCCCTTAGCTACTGAGAGTAATTCTTGGCTGAGTCTAATTCTTGGCTTACTTTGAGTCCCAATCTTGATTTAAGACTTGGAATTACTTCTCTTCCAAGTTGGAGTCACAAGAGCAGTTTTACCTACCATGCCACAAGGCTGACCCCAGTTTTTCTGTTCTTATGTGTTCAACCAATTTTGCCTACTCTTTTAAAAACTCATGTTTACTCATAATTTATTATATGGCAGGAACTGGGAATAAAGAGCTGTGCAAGCTGCTCATAGTCAAATGAAAGATAGTGAGTATAAATGACAATATGGTGTAGGAACACCAAGCCAGAAACACGAAACACTCCATGGAATCCTTCAGACACTCCTACTTCCACTGCCTTCTTCTTCCCAAGGTTTGCCTCCAGCTGCCTGGCCTTCACCACCTGCAGATACTTACAGCTCCACGTGGAACTAAATGGTTCCATGGCTCCTCTTCCCTGGCACTACACAAACCAGGAAGGAACCAGGGCACCTTTAGAGAGTGGAGGATCCAGTGAGAAAGCACACGGGGGGGGGGGGGAGAGGAAGATCCACAAACGTCCTCCCAGGGCTGGTGCTGAAGAAAAGGACCGTGGGACAGATGCATGGATGCCTAGGTACGGAATGAGTGCATAGATGGTTGGCTGAGCGAATCACAGAACACACTTTCAGCCTTTACAGTAAAACTGAACTTGGGTCTTCCAAAGATTGACGTTTGCTTTTTTAACGACCAGGTAGATTAATCTGCATTACAGTGGTTATTTTTAGAGGTTCAAATGACAAGTTCACTGAGGATTTTACAACTGACTAGAAGGAAAGGAGCTCATAGGGCTTGAGCTGACTTCCACAGGACAAAGTTGAGTGGGCTCATGTTGTGTAAGGAAGCAGCTCCAACACCCTCTAGCCAGAGCCTTAGGAAGTGATGGGTCACTGAGCTGCAGAGAGAGAGAGAGCAAGAGAGCGAGCTACAAACAGTGACACCATTTTGGTATTCCTTGTGTCCACTAACAGATGAGTCACCCTTACCATTAGATAAAAATACACTTGAGTCGAATCCCTATCAGTCTCCAGTGCAGCGTTTCCTACCAAATGGAGGGCTACAGGGAATTCTTCCATTTTGCAAATGATGGCATTCTAACCTTGCTTTTGTGTGGAGGTGGAGAGGAACAGTGTGGGAGAGAATGCAGAATGGATGGGGAACACCAAAGTAAACAGCTGGTTTTCTAGATGTCCTTGAAGGCCTCCAAGCTTTCAGAGACAAACTGTTGGAAGCTTCTGACTTTGGGGTTTAGTCGGTAGGTGAGCTCAACATCGCGTTCTGGCCTCTCTTGAAAGTAACGATAATGTTGATTGTCGCCTTTGCTTCAGGGATGTTCAGCTTCTCATAAGCTTCTGGGGTAATCTGTCCAGAGCAAACATTAGGGACTGTTAGAACCCACATTCAAAATAGTTCTGAAAAGATATCCCTTTATTTTAACAATCACACAAGTCCACAACTGTCATTCCCAACTCCAAAATCAAGCATCCTTTTCTCAGAAGCCATGGGGTAGCATATTGATTTTTCTAGACACAGATGATGGGCAGTCTGAACTTTGTAAATCTGCATGGTCTATACTGATTTCTTAGTGGAACGAGTCACATCTTCGATGAACAGTTCCTGCCCCAAGTGTTTGGTACTGGTGATGTCACCTCACATAGGTGGAACCTGTAACTTCTGAGAATCCTATGAGATTTAGGAAGCAACATTGCTTCCAGCCCCAGGTATTTGGGATAAGACATTGTGGAATCTCAGTACCCTTTCTATGAACAGCACCTCTACACTTTCAGGGTTCCATTGCAGCCTTCCTGATGTGTTAGCCTCGTGACCGTCCAGGCAGTGAGTGTACCACATACCCTCGTTCTGGTACAGCCTCTCGTTCTCAGCAGACTGTTGCCTCACTCGTCTTCACTAGTCTCCTTGTCACTTGCTTGGAGTCTTCACTCCTTCCAGAACAGTCAGGGAACAAGCCCTATGCCCCTGACCAGTCTTGTCACTGTCCAGCTGAATCATTTCACATCTTAACTACATCACTGATTTCCCCTCAGAAGCAGCAAAAACTATTTTGATTTGATCCTATATATAATCTCTTTATTCCCCAAGGGTATTCTGAGTTTAGGAACACGGTCTTAAAAAAAGATGTGACAGAGGAAACAAGTGTTCCTCGCAGTGGCTAAGATACCTGCTTTCCACATGACATGACCTGAATTCAGTTTCCATCTCTGCCTCCTGGTCCAGCTTCCTGTCAGCCTGGACCCTGGCCTGAGAGAGCTGTGCTGGCCCATGTGCCTGGACTCCTACCATTGACTTGGGCGACCTTTGACTTTCTGGCTGGAGTCTGGCTCAGTGCCAACAGTTAGGAGCATCTGAAGATTGAACCAGGAGATGGGAGCTCCTGCTTTCTCTCTCTCCATCTTCCTATCCCTCTTTTTCGCTCTCTTTTTTTCATCTTTCCATCTCTCTCTCTCAACTTTCCTTATTCCCAACTAAAAAGAAAATCTTTAATGTGACAGACATAAAAAATGTATGTAAAATGATGTTTGTCACATGCCATTTAGAATAATAAAAAATCAAGAACCTACATTTCTTTCAATAGAGTATTGCTTAACTGTGGTACCTATTCTTAAGAATATTATACATTTATTAAAATGAATGTATTTTATCTTTTCTGTATTGCTTCAGATATTTTACAACAAAATCTTGAAATGTAAACAATGAATGGTCCTTGTCTAAAATAATCAAATGAAATTATTGTTTCTGAAGAATTGTACAAACTAGAAAAAGTGTACGCAACATAACATGAAAGGGTCAGATATAAAATTGAATTTGTAGTGTCATTTTAAATGTACTAAATATTTATATCTATTTATAATAGAAAAATGAGAAGAAAATTGTGGCAGCTCTGTCTCTATACTGAAATTGAATTATGTGCAATTTTCCTTTTCATCATTGCATATATTAAGCATTTGCATTTTTTTCAGATAACAAGTTAGAAGCTTAGTGAGTATGTCAATAGAAGGTTCTGTGGGGGAAGCATGGAGGATGAGTTTGAGGGTCTGTGGGTCACTTTGGTAGCTCTGATAACTCGCATGTCTCAGGAAAGCAGGGAATTCTTGGGCTGCAAATTTTCAGCACAGAGAACACATGCTGTTGAGTCTCACTGTGAGAGCCATGCTCTGCCAGGGTCAGACACATCCTCTCAGCTAGAGCAGAGTTCCTGATGGCCTTGTGTTCTGGCCCTGCCTTCCCTGAGGCAGAAATGGAGGCCCTGGGAGGTGGAGGACATCAGACTGCGAGTCACAGAGCATTACCTTGTGGCCAAATGCGTCCTCCCCAGAATTAGCATAGCAACTAGGATCTTACTTTAGTTACAAGTAGGTGGCTGTGTTCCAGTTAACTTAATTCCTAATCAACATGAATCATTCCGTACACCATAGAGACAATAATGTATGCAAGCTAGGGTTTCAACAGCATTAATCAAGACAGACAGACTTGTGGAACTGGAGTCCTCTTCAGTGTCTTCTGACAGCATGCTCTCCTGCCTCAACACACCCAAAGCCATACAGGAACTTGCAAGTTGTGGGATTTTAGCAAACATGGTTCCCCTGGATTGTGCAGTGAAGCCTAGGAACTCACCTTTGAATCTCGGATATCTTTCCCCAAACCCTTGGATAAAATCTCAGCATATTGCTTCACTGTTAGTGCTTCTGCACCGAGGTTCATGGCCTTGCCGATGAACTCCTCTGGGGAATTAAAGATGTTAGAGACGATGACTCCAGTATCAGCAACGGAGATGCCAGGCAAGGGTTTATCCCCCATGGGCAGCACTAGTTTAAAAAAAGCAAAATAAAAGAAGCAAGATTACAACTGTTTAACAAGAACAGAAATACTCAGCCAAGTCGATATAGAGTGGGAGGGCAGCCACAGAAATCCGAGTGGCCACAGCTCCGCACCATAGCAAGGATTTGCAGAACATACCATGACCTCTGGATGTTGGCTACAAAGAATGGCTCTTGGCTGCTGAGCTGCTGAGTGTAGAGTAGGGCTCATTAATCTTCTGCACAGACTTCTCTGCTTAACGTGTCTAGCTTCTTACTCAGCATCCTCACTGATATGTTTCATAGGTTTTCTTGACATCCTTGGTCCCATGCAGAACTCCTACCATCCTGACAATCTGTTCTTCCTGCACATCTCCCCCTCTCGGAAACTAACAGGTCTTTAGATTTTTTTTTTCAAGGCTTTACTTGCTTCCGTCATTGTTGTTTCAGTAAAGTGTGGGTTACAACCAATCTCAGCTGCAATGCAATGCAAATCGTACCATCTAATTAAACAAACTGAGAAAAATATGGAACACTTCACGATTTTGCGCATCACCCTTGTGCAGGGATTATGCTAATCTCTGTATCATTCCAAGTTTAGTATTTGTGCTGCCGAAGCTAGCACAGGTCTTTGGTTTTTCAAATCAACAACCTCAGCATTAACCTCCAAATGCACTAATTCACTTCTCATGGAATCCCATTCCATGAGAATGTCTGGAACCTGACCACTTCCCACCATGTTACCATCACCACAAAGGTCTGCACCACCAGCATCCTTGGCTTGGATGGGGACAAATCTCTGCCTAGAGTCTCCCAGGGCTCAACCACTACCTAGAGCAGCAAGCTCTGTGCAGGAGCAGCCCCACCCCTCATTATTCTGATTCTGAACAGGGAACCCAGGACAGAAGAGAAAAGCTTCTTCCCTTGTTGCCCCAGCGGAACAGCCAGAGGCCCTAGGGGTCATCTCACCCAGAGTTAACTGAAACTGACTCCTGGCTTGTGGCCTGCACAAGGTCAACATGTGAAAGTCTAGATGTGAAATTCTTGTGCTTTGGTTCTCAAAGAACTTCTCTAACCACTTGCATGGGCATGTAAGCAATTTGTGAATGATCTTGGTACTTCCCTTTGAGCTAAATGCCCTAACACTGCATGCATGAAAAGGGGAAGGAAGATTGAGAGGGATGGAGGGCAGCAGGTGTCTGGTTGACTTTCCCTGTAACCTCACACACTTACCCAAGGTGTAATAATCTCCATCAGAGGCTTTCATAGGTTTCTGAACGCTGTGAAAATTCTCAAAGTAAGATGGCATGCGGACACTGGTCATGGGGACTCCAATGGACCAGAAATACTCCTCAATTATTCCTTTGTTATCACAGAATGGCAAGGTCAATCTTCCCCCAGTTAGCTTATGCACATACTCCAGGCTGCTGAACACCACATGCTTCAGACCAAGGCGCTTGGCAACATCTGCCATCAGCTTCCCCTAGGAGACCAAAGTGAAACCTTCACTGGGGTCCTGCCTTTACATAAAGACCAGAGGGCAGGTGCTGGGCCCTTGCTTCCTCCTTTTCTTAATGCACATGCATTACCTTAATGCACATGGAGAGGAAGCACATGTGGCCTCAAAATATATGAGATTACCTTCTGAGAGACCACCACACTCACATAACATTGTCCTCACAGTGAAAGATAGTGTCAGCAAATCCCAAAATATACTCATGTCATAAACAGCATAGTGGATGATGGAGAGCTTCCTTTTTGCACAACTGGAACATTCCAGATGGGGAGAAATAGCTAGGAATGAAAATATATCAAAATGGGGAACTTTGAGCCTTAGTGTACTCCTAGTTCTGGATTCTCAAGAACCTGCATTTGGTGATGCCTCCCTGCTAGTAGAGTCCCAGGGTACAGGACATCACCAGGTACACACAGAGAACATGTGGGGTTCTCCTCTGGGGTCTCTCCTTCCTAAAAAACACCAGGACCACAACTGAGGCTCTATTCTTATAACTTTCCTAACCCTCTTTACCCTCTAGGCCCAGCTACTGTAGCCAGAGCTAGACTAAGTTTCCAGCATCTTTGCCTCTTACAATGAGGATGAACTTGAGCACCTGCACACCTGGGGAGCACATTCCAGGCATAGCAGGTTCAAAGGGGCAGGAAGACATAGCTGCTCACCTGATGCACTTCCCTCTCTTGGTTTAGTTCCCCGAAATATTTGGTCACCAGGAAGGCTCCATAGACTCCTTTTAAGGCAGCTACTAAAGATGCTTCATCATCCAGATCACATTTCACCACCTCAGCACCAAGGTCCCTGAGTGCCAGGGCACTGGGTTGAGTCACATCTCTGGTCAATGCCCTCACTGCAAAATGTTTGGAATCCAAAAGTGCCTTGACCACGGGGCCCCCCTGAACACCTGCAAGTGAAGGAGGAAAGACACATGGAATTATTAAGAGGAATGTTCACTAGCGCACATGTGTCAGCAAGGCCCCGATTTATAGCTGACCTGCAGTGGCACCTCCTTTGGGAGGTGCTGCCTGGTTCATCAGGTAGCTCATGGCACTCACATTGCTTTTTACAACCTGTTCAGATGTGCCAAATATAATCGGTTGAGTTACCTGTCACACACAGATGACAACTCGTGCAAACTGAAGTTACAAATTGATGGGCTATGGGTAGAGACTTCATCTAATTGTTGTGTGTAAGAGGTGTGTTGGTAGGAGGCCTTTAAATCACGCAACTGCGGAGTAAGCCATTAGATGGTGGTTATCATGAGACCATTGGATTTTTGAATTCCAGTTTGGCATGGCTGGCCTCATTTGGCTTTGTGCCTCATGATTTAATTGTGCCTGTGCATTCCCTGTGTGCAGATCTCAGCAGGTGCAAGCTCTAGCACCACCTGATGCTGGTTCTTAATTCCAAACTGAAAATTGAAAGAAACTTTTTCTTCTCCCAAGAAGAAAACAAGAAAACACTTTCAAAATTGGTAAATATCACAGCAAAATAACTTCGCAATGTAAACAAGAATTGTCCCACAATTAGGTGAAAAATGCAAAGTAGGAATATGAAACTAAGTAGATTAAAGCAGAGGAATTCCATTGGAGGAATAAAGAATCAAAAAAGGCGATAATTTCTGAGCTTTCTGATTAAGGGGTTGCTGAGTGCTTTGCACAGTGACAAATTAAGTCCCACACTCAGTTCATCACTTCCAATTTCAGGACACCAAGGATAACAGGATGCTAACTCCTGGAGGAGACATGTGATATGGGGTGTGGATTTGGACTTAGGGTTAAGATTTCATTAAGACATACATGTCCCATAATGGAGTATCTGATTCAAGGCCCAGCTCTGGCTCCTGACCCCAGCTTCCTGCTAGTGAACACATGCATTCTTCAAGGCTGTATGCCCTATCCTCACAGGGCCTTCACTCAGGTTGGATTAGCGCCAGCCCTAATGGCCTCATTTAACCTGATCATCTATTTAAAGGTCACATCTCCAAAGAAGCCTCATTTTGAAGTATTGGGAGTTAGGACTTAGGCATCCTAACTGAGGAAAGAAGGACAATTACTGTTGTGATCATTTTCTTGTAACACCACTCCTGCAATGTCAGGGACTTGATCAGAAAAGATAAGGTTCTTGTTTTATTTCCCAGCCATGGACCCAGACACAATGGATCCTGGCACAATGCAGGTTCTCAATGACTCCTGTCACCTGAATGAATGAATGAATGAATGAATGAATGAATGAATAAGTGGAGCAGAAACATTGAAACCTCTGTGCTGTTAGTTCTGTGCTTTGGAGATGAGCAGTCTTGATATGTCCAACATGAGATGAAGAAACAAATAACAAGACCAAAAACAAAACGTGAGAGTCACTGGGCTGTGTGGCCATCAAGGCCTGCAGCTGCAGCAGAATCTAACAACACTGCAGGAAGAGCACGTGCCACAGAACAGATCCTCCTTCACAGTGCAGTGCATGGCAAGAAGGATTCTCCCAGTACTGTGGGTCATCCACTCCTCAAAGCAACAGAGACAAAAGAAGCTTGAATAGTTCTGAAAATGAAGCAGTGAAAACACATGCATAAAACCTAGTGTTTGTGTGTTAGCTTTAGGGATGAAGCCAGCACTTGGCCTGCCCACATTCCACATCATAAGGCTTAGGTTTCAGTCCTTGTCCTGCACCTGATTCCAGCTTCCTGCTGATGCACACCCTGCGAGGCAGTGTGGTGGCTCAAGTACCGGAGTACCAGAGTTCCTGCCACTCACAAGGTAGACCCACATTGAATTCCCAGCTCACAGCTTTGGTCTGAAGGAGCCATGGCAGTTGTGGGCATCTGGGGAGTGACCAGCAAATGAGAAATATCTGTCTCTCTGTTTTTCTACCTTGCAGTAGAAAACAATAATTTTTAATTTGTTTAAAGACCAAGGAAGTAAACAGAACAATGTTACCAATGAGTGTGTGAAAGCTCTGAACCTACCTTGGCAAGAAGAATGTTTAAATTGGCAAACCAACAAAATGCATAGTAAAGGGTTGTTGGACAGTACATACTGCCTGCAGTGTCTTCAATCCATATGGATACCATTTCAAATCCTGACTGTTCCACTTCTAATCCAACTCACTGCTAAAATACCGAGGAAAGGAGATAAAGATGGCCTAATACTTTGGGCTTCTCTACTCATGTCAGAAACCCAGAGAAGCTCCTAGTTCCCATTCTTGGACAGGGTCAGCTTGAGCTCCTGTGACCTTTGGGAAAGGAACCAGCAGATGGAGCGTCTCTCTCTCTGTCTCGTCTTCTCTCACTCCCTCTTACATCTGCCTTTCAGATAAAAAAAAAATACAGGAAAAGATAAAGCTACTTGGATTAGTGTCTCTCCAGCACTTAGGAAAATCATCTGAATGAATCTAAAAGTCAGCCACTGTTAGAGAGAGATGTGACTCATGAACCTCTGAGATAATTTCTGAGAAATGGAGTTTACTCACGCTGCCCCTCATGGCATCAATGACTCAAGCACTCAGGATGTTTCTTAATTCCCCCACAAAGGGCTTTCTACAAGTCATACTCTCAAGCTCTCAGTGAAAAACAGTGAGACAGGAGGAATAGCAGAGTGGGCATGCACTTGAAAAGACTTTCCTACCTGTTGCTCCAAACACAGCAATCACTTTCCTGCTGGCCATGTTCCCAGATGAAGAAGCAGTTGCAGCAAAGCTTCCCTCAGCAGAAATACAACTTTGCTTCTTGTGTGAGAATTATAAAACTCTTCTGATGACCATACCCCTAATATTGCCCCTCCCTGCAAAACTGCCTAATGAATGCTGCCTAGGACAGTCATTGTGACTCAGCATTTTCTGTATGCTTTATTGGCCTTTCATTTACTCAGTATCTATCTGTGTATCTGTTTATTTGAAAGATAGAAGAAGAGATCTTCCGTTGCTGGTCCACTCAACAAGTGACCACAATGGTTGGTTGGGGCTGATTCAGACCAAAGCTGGGAACCCCATCTGGGTCTCTCTCATAGGTGGCAAGGATCCAAGTCCTTGGAATCTACTACTTGCTGCTTTTCCAGCTGCATTAGCTGGGATCTGGACTACAAACATTGCAGCTCAGAGCTGGGATATGTGCTATT